CATTCCTCACTCCCGCACACAGTATCAGGCTGTGCACAATGGGCACTTTATACATCTGTTTGCACTAAGTCGGTCAGCCACCCCTCAGAGCTGTGTAGAAACCTCACAGGTTAACCCACAGGGAGTGAGCTGCCTGTCACTAGAGGCAACCAGTTAAGAATACTGGGAGATACGTGGTACCAGAGCTTCCTTCATCAAGAAGACTAACCACCAGTTGAGAATGAAGAATGACGGGTGAAAGTAACATGTTTAGATTATGTTCGGGTTAGCATACCATTTAGAAATAAGTAGATATATGCCCGAAATTCTGAGAGACTAAAAGAGGTGCAAGAACAGTGATTGTAAAAAGAGAGTGGTTTAACATTAACTGGTATCTGTAAGATATATAGGAAATCAGCCGCTTGATTCTTCTCTACATGACTGGATCGCTTCAGCCTAACTTGGTTTAGATATGCTTAGAAGAAAACCACTGACGTTAGGGCCAAAGCCAAAGAAGGACTTTGCAGACACCAAACGGGGCAGTCCAGCACCCAGCCCAAAGTCCTGGTTCTCACTGCATGCCAGGGTCGGGAAGGCCGTGTGTACCCCTGACTTCAGCAGAGAAGGAAACGTCGTGGGCAGTACAGATGCTATCATCATGGGTACCCAGCGATGGTAGCACAGATGCTTACCAGGGAGGGCCTCAGTGGAAATCTGGACTGAATTAAAGGGGGAACAAAGAAAGCAAGGCCTCATGGTTTTATACACAGTTGGCCCTTAAACTGAGTTTGAACTACCCTGGGCCACTTATGCAGGATTTTTTTTTTCAGTAGGAAACATTAAATCACTGCCTGGACGTTACATCAGTCCCTGGATGGTGGAAACCACATATGCAGAGGAATCTTGGAGACGGAGGGCCAAGTCTAACTAATACCTAGATTAACCCTTGTGCTGTCCAAGGGCCTACTGTAAATACGTTAACCCAACCATGCTTTCCTGAGAACCTTTAAAGCTCTCCCTCCAACCGAGACACTGGTCACTGTGGGTGATGCTGGTAGGTTCTGGTGCCTTCATGGCGAAATCACATTTATTAAAAACATGAAGGACTGTGATGTGAAAACAACTCTACCGGGCAGGACTGAGGGCCACGCATTCAAAGGATCCTTCATTCTGGAGGTGCTCTTTTGTGAGGGTTTTAAACCTGACACAGGGCACCCAGGACTGGTCGGCTCCCACCCTAGTCAGGCTCCATCTGGGCCTAGTGACTTGGGGAATTTGAAAGAGGAAGCCCTGTACCAGGCAAGCTGTCAGACCAGCTCTGTGCTACTATTTTCAGTGCTGATATTATACGGTTCAAGATGCTTCAGCGAGTCCACTTCTCTACAGAGATAACCTTTTTCCAATATAAGAGAGTCTACCAGTTAGGTCAAAAGCAGCAGTGTGATTAAACACAGATGCTGAACACTGGATTCAGGGCTTCAGTTTCAGCTCTGGCTGCTTGCTGGCTGTATGACCCCTGAGTTCCAGTGTTTTCATCTGTGAAACCAGAATGGTATCTTCCCAGAGGATTATTAAAAAGGGAAAGTGAGGAAGGGCCTTTTATAACATCCAGCACAGTTGGTACTGGAAGACAGTTATTACTAGCATCAGGGAGAAACACTTAATTAGGTGCCAAAGGTCCTACTCTCTTCCATGAATGATTCTTTTAATAGGTATGTGGTCCAGGCCAGTCCCTGCGATGTGAGGTGGGGACAGAGGTACCGAGCAGCACTGAAAAGGAGGAAGCAGTAAAGAGCAGAAGCTACCATTGGTCTGGAATTATGAATTGGAAAACGTTGTAGTCCACGGAGCTATTATAAACACAGACCTGCTTGCTTTGATGAAATGAGTCAAGAGACTTCCACCTGGTAGAAAATATCCCCGAGAGGAGATTCAAACACATCATCAAGGCATATCCTTCTTGGAGAAAAAAGGTTTTGAAGGTAAGCTCTAAATCTCACTAAGGCTGATGGAATGGGTGATCTGACGTATGGACCACATCAGGGTTTTAATTATTCACCAATGATATAATCCGTAAGAAGGCCTTTCTATTCCTGGCCCAGAGAAGAGGCTGCTGGCCACTGGTAAGAAGAACACACCAAACACCAGAGGCTTTCAATTTCAGAAAAGCTTAGAGAAGTGAACACCGCTATTGGAGGAGAAACCACTACGGTCTCTGGCATCAGCGTTTAAGAATCATCCTTTGAAACATAAATCCCTATAAAGCTGTCAGTATATTATGACAAATGCACACTATCAGCAAGTGGAGGGGGGTGCATTTTTTTGCCTGGATCCATGCACTGTGCAAGAATGACTGACACCTATCAGAGGAGTTTCTCTGAAAAAAAATTTTTTTTTTCCTTTTAGTATCAACAGGAACTATTGCCAACAACCATTGAGGGAGAAACAAGTTATTGATGAACTCAGGGTCGCCCACTAATGGGCAGAGTGAATAGCTAAATAAACACAAAAGAAGAAAACCAGTATCTTTCACATCGTATTTTTCATGACAAAACCAAGTATGATGTAAAATAGCTTGACAGGAGACCTGCAAAACGGCCCAATGAAACCCTTCCCTTAGAAAAGGGTAACATGACTTTTTAATGGTGCTGGGAGAGCAATGATAAATCACAGTAATTTCTTTCCATGTATATCATATTCTTGAAACGGCAAAATTACAGAGATGGAGAACGATGAGCGCCTTCACTGGTTGCTGGGTGAGTAGGAGAGGGAGGGGGTGGCTGTGGCTACAAAGGGTGGCTGGGGGGGGGATCCTTGTCATGAACTGTTCCGGATCCTAACTGTGGTCACATGAATCTCCATGTGACAATACTGCACAGAACTTTATACATGTGTACACACACACACATGGGCATGTAAAACTGTGGAGTCTGCATAAGGTCCAGAGATCGTATCTCTGCTAACATCCTCGTTATAAGCATACTAAAGTCATGTTGAGATGTCAACGTTTTGAGAAACTGGATGAAGGCTATAAAAAATCCTGCTGTGTTATTGCCTACAACTGAATGTGAGCTTAAAATTATCTCAAAATAAAAGTTAAAAAATGTTTAAAAATTGGAAAACTCAGCAACACTTTAGTTCCTTGGAGGATGTGAAATCTTCCATGAACTCACATGAAGGTCGCAGATGGGCCAGCCTAATAGGAGTCCTCATCTTAGAGAAGTTACAAGTCAGTGTCATTACTGAATGCCTAGAAGGGTCTCAGTGGTAGGAAACAGACTTGCCTCAGCAATTTACACCTCTGGCTTTGATTTCTGTATCTGAAGGCCACAGGGGTTTTGGGTGTTTTCATCACAACCCCGGGTGAACCAGCCACAGTCGAAATGATTCAAGATCCAGAGTTTTAAGCACAAGACTGTATATCAAATGTGCAGATAAAGTACCACAAAGGCAAACTAGTGCCATTTATAAATGACTTGGGTGTGAGCAACATTCCCGTTTAGTTTCTTATTTTGATAGTATGTGTGTGTTGTGGGGGCAGTGAGGCAGTCAGCAGGGCTGGTTCACAGTTAGGGAGCTTCCCTTCTAGTTGCAGTTCTGACTGCTACATTTGTGATAAAGAATCTTTACAATGAAAACTGATCTGTACTCCTGTGGAATTCATGAGGGCATCAGGAATGCCCTACACAGGATGAATAGGGAACAGCAATGTTTAATACATCACTGTTTTATTCTCAAAGGTGTCCATGGCAAGTTTTATTGGGAATACTTGAGCAGAGATATGAATACTGTGTACAAGGGTGGTGACGGAAGAAAAACACTGACAGCACGCTTGTTTCTCTAGCTCTTCCTTCTTCCTGATGCCTTGGATCTCCAATAAAAAATCAGATAAGAAAAAAACTCTTACTGCAGCTCTCAGTTTCTTGCAAATCCCAGTATTATGCAACTGTTATTTTAGCACAGAGAGGATACTTAAGGCTAGACAAGTCCCCTCCATTTCATACTTCAGCCGAGTTTCCAGAAAGGCCCCTATTATGTTCAATTATCAATGATAATAAAAGGCATTTTTTAAAATAAAATCTACACAGAAACTTTACATTATTTTGAAAATATGAATAAAGGCATGACAGTTTTCTCATCTTGTTCATTATGACTATTTCCAAAGGCAATTATGTCCTGCTTTCTGCACCCTCTGTCATTAATGAAGCTATAAATCCAAGACATCTTTTCATCCATCTCGTCACTGCACCTCTGCCCTAGGATTCACCTACCCTCTCTGGTCCCTAGAAGACACGCTCTTATATTGTTGTTAAAGCACACACATACACAATTCAGATGAAAGGGTGTCCCACAGAAGGATCATACAATGCAAATTCACTGAAACACAACTCTGAGCTATCCAAAGTATAAAATTTAAAAGGGAAGTACAAGTTTCTTCCTTAAAAACTATTATCTTCACGATAATAAGGCAGCCACTCTGCAGGGAGAACTCTCCAGCCTCGGCACTGGCTCCCATTTCTACAAGCCAGGATGGGCTTCAGTGGCGTTGTCGGCTGCCGGAGGAAACTCAAGCTTGAGATTTCCGCTGGTGCCATTAACAGGACTTCTTCTCACCTTTAATTAGTGGATAACCAAACACATGCAGGCACAGAAAATCTGCCTGATGTCAGAGCTCCTCGCCCCAGATTTCAAGTGGCAAGACTAGTCCGCTAGTGCCAGGCGGCTGTGAAATTTTCTTAAAGAGACTTGATACTCTGCTTCTCTAGAGAAAATGCATCCTGATCCAGATTTGCATTCTTGGCACTAGATACACTCTGCGGTTCACGGGAGAAGCCTAGAAAATGTTTTGTCAACAAATATCTACTGCAAACCACAAATACCTACTGTAGACAAACAAATAGCTATTGTGGTCAGAGTGTAAGTAAAACAGTCCTGAGTAAATTACCGTTGTTATTGATGAGAACTGCAATACCAATGCATGTCTCTGCAAAGTAAGAATGAGTGAATTCAGTGGGGAGTACCTTAGCAATGGCGGTGATGTGATCCAGGGCCATAGCATGCAGACGTTCGTCCGGGCTTTCCAGGAGAAGCTTCAGCGATGGGAGCAGCAGGGCCTGATCAAGCAGCAGTGAGCACAGCTCCTTCACCCCCTGGAACCACAAGGGCGACTTTGTGAGTGAGAAGGAAAGGGGATGCATCACAGCCCCAGCACGATTCTGGAGGAGTCTTTCCTCTCCTTTTCCTACAAGTGTGAGAGTGTGTGTGTGTATGTGTGTGCGTGCGTCGGTGACTGTTCAAAAGACACACAGGGGACCACCCTGATGTAGGGTTTGGTACCTGCTTCACTCAATTCACCATCTTAATTGATAAAATCTTTCTGAGTATCACGTATTCATCTACAATACTGCTATTTTAATGGCTGCATAGGATCCCACTGGATGGTTAGAGGGCTGGAATTAATTTTTCTGAACTCTCAGAGCCCTAGTTTCCTTCCAAGTATAATGGAGGCAACTGTATCTACTGTGCAGTGTTTTGTGTGTGTGTGAGAATAAGTGTTAGTGAATAAGGATGCTCAATACTCAGCATCTACGAGACGCTTAACAACAAAAACTATTCTTGATTGTTAACATTATCAAAAAGATCTAGTTATCATTCAGTCTAACAAAGGAAATCGGAAATTTAAACATTTTAAAACCTGTTTATGGTTAATGTCAAGACTTCTCAGGTGGTATGAGTGGTAAAACACCTGCCTGCCAATGCAGGAGACACCAGAGACTCAGGTTAAACCTCTGGGTCAGGAAAATCCCCTGGAGTAGGCAGTGGCAACCACTCCAGCACTCTTGATGGGAAACCCCATGGACGGAGGAGCCTGGTGGGCTACAGTCCATGGGCCTGCAGAGAGTCAGAAACGACTGAGCAACTGAACTGAGAGTTAATGTCAAGGTGAACTGAATGCTTGATATACCCAAGATGTTCCTTCTTCATAAAACTATCTGTGGTCCAGAAAAATGAAAATGTATTCAGATCGCCACAGATGTATTTTAATTTTATTTACAGCTCTTTTTCATACTGGCTGAATCTGTCATAGAGAGCAGCCTTTTCTATAAGATAAATATGATAATCCTTCACAACAAAAGTATAAGAGCATATAAAATAAATTTTCAAGCTATTCCTCCCTGCCCAGTTACACATTCCCTTGGTGTCCTGATTTTAGCTGTAAAGAACAGAACACTTGGACCAAAGACCAGGCAGTGAGTGCGACCTCATTACATAAAGCAAGGGCTGTTTTTGAAAGAACACAGAATCACTGCCCTGTGCAGGACTGGTCGATCCTCCTGCTCTTGTGCTACCCCAACAGTAGCTATCAGAGAAGAGAAACGCACATTTCAGGTATTTTCATAATTCTTTTAGGTTATTATAAAAAGTGGATAAAATAAGGCTACATAAAGAAGCTCCTATTTAAAGTCTGGGGTAAAGGTCTCTTTGGAATTCCACTCACAATCTTTTTTTAGGCCACTGCTGGAAACCAGACTGGAATACTGTGCCACACAAGATCAATACTGGCAGGGAAACAGCTCTGCCAAACACGTGCTTCAAACCTAGATCTAATTCAGCAAAGAGCTCTGCGTGCCTTAAAGCACATGCAGCACACGGAGGGGTCTCACCCAGCATCCGGGCCAAAGAGAAATGTGGATGTTTAACCTGGGATGCCCAAACCTGCAGAAACCATTTGGGAAGGTGAAATGTAAATTCGGGGATGTGGCAGTCGAGCCTAAACAGCACTGACCTGCTTCCTCTGCCCGCCCCCTGGAACCACGGCTCCTTCCCCCATCCTGCACAGGCCATGAAAGGCAGCACCCAGGAGGGCTTGATCCCATCCTGGGACGCTCTGCATTCGCGCTGTCCCACAGGGCAGCCGAGGACCACGTGGGCTTGTGAGCACCTGAGATGTGGCTAGTGCCACTGAGAAACTACACTTTGAATTTCATTCCATTTCGCTTAATTTAAACTTAATTTTAGTACTCACATGTGGCCTGTGGCTACCAGCAGGGAACAACGGGCTCTCACAGACCTCCGGGTGTTCACACACAATGGATGGAACCTCTGCTGTCTCTCTGTGTGATCAACTCTCAACTCATCCTTAGGTCTCAGTTTACACAGGCACAAGAAAACCCTATTTCCCATGACAGCGCCTCTGATGGCCCAGGTTTGCCACTCCTACATCCTGGCTCTACTTCATCAGATATTTCCTACATTATCTGTCACCTTGTATTACTGTTATCATTCATCTATCTGCTTCATTTGAGGGCAAGAAAGTTTTTCCTTCTCTGTATTCCAAACTTGCTTGCTATTTGAAAAAAATGTTAGTTGCTCAATTGTGTTCAATTCTTTGCAACCTCACTGACTGTAGCCCACCAGGCTCCTCTGTCTATGGGATTCTCCAAGCAAGACTACTGGAGTGGGTAGCCAGTCGCTTCTTTAGGGCATCTTCCCAACCCAGGGACCAAACCTGGGTCTCCTGCATTGCAGGCTGATTCTTTACCATCTGAGCCACCAGGGAAGCCTCAAATTATCTGTATTATTCCCCTCTCTTAACACTCATATTTGCTTATAAGTTATCAGAAATTGGTAAACAAGTTATTTTTCAGGAACTTACAATATTCAGAATAAGCATATCACTAAGCTATCTTAGCTTCAATAAAAATTTATGGCAATCACCTTTATATCCTGTTGAGCAGGCATAATGGCTAGTATCCCACAGCCAGAAAAAGACATCCAGGAACGGAAGAATTCATTTTATGAGAGCTACTGAGAGTTTTTTGTTTTTTGTTTTTTATCTCAGTAAACAGTTACTGGCTAAATACTTTGTAATTAAGTACTATACTATACTCATCAGGCATTTTCCCCTGTGTTACAAGAGGACAGTTTATTAGGATGTTTACAGAGGGATTTAGAGAGCTACAGGAAAGGTGAAAGGAGCAAAGCGAAACCCTTTGCATGGCACCTTCACAGCTCAAGCTGTCTGGGCATCAGGACACAGAACAACAGTGAGAAGCCTTTAACGAAAGAGGAGTAGCTGAGCAGGGCCCCAAGCCCGGTCAGAGTCCTGCAGGCTGTTCCCCGCTGTGGATTGGGACTCGTGGGGATGTCCTGGGCCCTGTGTGATGGTTGTCAGAGAAGCGAGACTGGTTCACCTGCGGTCCTTGCCTCCTCGTGTTCTTGCCTCCTGCTGGCCCGGGGGGTATCTAGCACCTAAAGGTGTGCCAGGGCCCGCAGTAAGGGCCTGGAACACAAAGTGTGCCGGAATGGGGGTCACTGAAAATCAAGCTCTTGACGTCATCATAAGTGCCTTAACCGTGAGAGTGAACAATCACACTAAGTAGAAGGGGGGTCACCCAGGTGGCAGATGCCCACACACCCAGCCAAGACGTCTGCAACGCTACTTCTCTTTGTGCCTCCACATGGACCCTCGGGGGCAGCCATAAATAGCTGTGATGCGGAATTTTAAATCTAAATGCCAAGAGCTTGTTTTATGCCGAGTTGCCAATTTCCTGTTCTACAGATCCCCCACTCCTGAGAATGGTTCATGTATTGCCATGGATACAAGCTGGGAAGGAGGATGCCTAACTTTCAAGACTGGGGGACATGTGACCTGTATGAGACAGCGACTTTTATCTTTCTGGTCATATCTGTCATCGGCACAATCACCAGGGCCATAAGTAAACAAGTATCATGAGCAGCAGCAGGTGGTTATGAAGTCTTGAAGGAAAAAAAAAAATCTCTACATATGGGAACTTGGTGGGAGGGATGGGAAACAGGGATGATGGAAAAAGTAAGCCCCTTTAAATCCTGTCGGAGATAATTAGGCCATCGCATTTCACACACCATGCATCAGGGTAACCAAAGGTACTAGAATAAAAGAAGAGTCATGAATACTTTTACTGCCACAGTGATGTTAAATCTTAGGGAAGTCTGAAATGAGACTAAGTGATCTCCAAAGGTGGGAAAATAAACAACACATCTCCATTTTGTCATCATACTGCTCCTTCCTTTGTAACAATTCTAATTCACATTTCAGCACATTTAGTGATTAATACAAACAGAAGATTTGCAAAGTTCCTTCAATCATGGCATCCTTAGGAAAATAAAAAAAATCTAGATACATACCCAATTAAAAGACAGAGCAGCACAAGAAAAATGAAGGAAAAAAATAAGGCACTGTGGCAACAGATAATGATCTTGATAATGATCTTTCATCTCATCAAATTACATCAGAGAAGGGACAATGATCCGCTTCAAAATGGGGCTCAATGCAGCACTCCACTCCTCACCCCAAGAGAATGATGGGCTTGTCAGTGGACTATGTGCTGAGGATGAAGAAGAGAACAGACAGCCTCGGCTCACACTCCACCCAGGACCAGAGACCTTGAAGAAGAGATGGAATAAGAGTCCCCTCTGACGTCATGGGGTCTAACCCCTTGTTTCAGAGATGAGAAAATGGAGGTCCAGTGATCTGAAATAATGTTTTCCTAACCTAGATTCAGAAGAACTGACAGTAGGCCACTTGTGGAGTTTGGAGTTGACCTAACAATGCGCGATCTTAGCTCATGTGAAGGCAAAGGTGAAAACCACGTTATTTCTTCACCCTGATGGGGGTAACCAGCTCTGTTCAGTCCCCACTGTCCAGTCTGCTGAATCCTGCCTTGACGGAAACGAGATGCTGCAGCCACGGCTCCCGCTCTCCAGGTGTTCACAACACATTAGAGCTGACCACCAGTCAAGAGGGAGTGGATCTAAGGAAATCATAGGCTATCAGAGTGGGGGGGGGGGTGCTTTTTGGTGTTGGTACTTTAATTATTTAAAAGAATAATTCTGTCATTCTGGTGGCTGAAGACATCTTCAAATGGACTCAATACTTTAAATTCAATAAAAAAACACTTAGCCAGTCCTTCATTCAGAAAACAATTCATTAAGTGTGCATTCATAATGAGAACATTTTCCTTGCGTGATTACAATGAAGATTCAAAGAATCATATTTACAATTTCATTTTCAAGTTTCTCTCTTATGTGGTAAAAACTCAAAAATCAATTAATCAACTTAATGCCATTATCCAGATGCTTAAATTTAAGACGTAGATTGCTCAAATAATATACTTCTGAGGTCAGATCCATGGCAGGGATTGTAGCTAATATGTGCTTATTTTAGAATGTAGAAATTTATATATATATACATACAGGGCTTCCCTGGTGGCTCAGAGGTAAAGAATCTGCCTGCAATACAGGAGACCCAGGTTTGATCCCTGAGTTGGGAAGATTCCCTGGAGAAGGGCATGGCAATCCACTCTGGTATTTTTGCCTAGAGAATCCCATGAACAGAGGAGCCTGGCAGGCTGCAGTCCATAAGGTCGCACAGAGTCGGACACAGCTGAAATGACTAAGCAGCAGCAGGATGCATATATATACATATTACATAAATATCTCTGGGACAGCTCTGCTATGGGATCAAATAGAGAACACAAGTCAACGTGTGTTTTTACCATGTTTATAGAGAATAAATATTGTTGTTATACAATGTTATTACAATGATGTAAAAAAGTATATGAAAATTAAGAGTGGCTGGTAACCCACCAAGGAACACTAACGTAACCACTACATTACCAACTGGCCTGGGTCAGGCAGACACGACACTTGAAATACCGTGACCTCTTGCAACAGAAATGTGAGTTAGACATAAAAAGGGCATCCAAAAAAAACCCCAGAAAACTGTGGTTCTACTGTGGGACTTGTGAAAAGAAAATCGCTTCAGAGCTCCAACAAAGAGAAAAAGACCTCAAAGCATCCTTTCAGCACTGCTCTTCTTCACTTGATCTGTTACAGATTACGGGCTTTACCTACCTATAACTTAGGCGAAACATTACCCAAGCACAGTCGCTGATAATGCTTCTAATAAGAGAGGTGGGGAAGGAAAGCGATGACCCCAGCAAAGCCACGTGAAGCATCCACTCACCTCGGCAGGCAGCATCTGCTCTGTGTTATACAGAGCGCGGCAGATTTTCAAAACTTCATTCCCCAGCCTTTCCTTGCTCTCCGTCGTACATCTGGTAAGCATCGCTGTGGCCAGTCTCACCCACGGATTATTGGTCACGCTGGTTCGAAGGGAGAAAAATGCAGGCATTCGAAACAATGAGACTTATGATGACTGTGGTAAGAAATTTAAAAATAGAAAAGAAATCCCACTTGTTCAAGTAAAATGCTTTTGGCAAACTGCAATCATAATCAGGATGATGTATTTCTTCCTGTCTATCTTGGAGAAAGACCCCATCAAGCAGAGGGAAAAGAGCTTGCTGTAGCGTAGACAAGCGCCCAGAAGCGTGGGGGCAGTGGGTAGACGCCGGCCAGCACAGGCAGTTCAAAGCCCAGCCATTCGGGCTGACATTCTGGCTCCCTGGCTACTTGGGTAACTCAACAGAGGTGACTGAAACTCTCTCCGCCTAGTTATATGCTTACAGGGGAGCCACCTAACTTTTCTGGGCCTCGGTTCTTTTCACTGTGAAAAAGCGATTTAATGTTTTCCTTGCATCACTTAATGAATGGTGCTTGTCATGTGAAGTGTCACTCTTGATAGCGGGCACATCTTATTTATTGTTCTTATTTCTGAGACGTAAAAGCACAAAAGTTTGTCTTTTGTTTCCCTTCTCTGGCTATCACTACTCTGAATTCATAAAAAACATCACAATTTATATTTCAAGAAGCAACCGAAGAGTACATTCATTCTGGGGTACTGATTTTACTTACAACATTGTACAATAATTTTACTATTTATCAAGAGTTTGTTGCCTCATTAAAGCACAGCTGTAGCTTCTAAACAATGAGCACCCAAGGATAGTCCCTCCCTTGAAAGAATTTCATTGCCTGTGCCTGAGAAAAACATCAAGTGCAACAACAAGGGGACGCCACAAAACTAGCCTCTGGCAAAGCCTTTGTGTCTCAGCTCAAACTAACAACCTGTGAGGACAAAGGATGCTGCTTATTTCAAGGTACAGACAAAGCCCCGGAGAGTGTCTGGTTGACAGAGGAGGAGTCTTCAGACACTCCGGACTCGCCCTCTGCTTTCCTCTTTCAAGTCTGGACCCAGCTCCCCAGGGGTTTTCCCTAACAGGCCGCCTCCCTGCAGCAAAAATGCTGGTTCGTCAACACAACGCATCCAGTGGTTTTGACAACAACTATCAGAATGGAACTTCCACCAGCCAGCTGTGACACTCTGGAAGAACACGATGGATATTCCTGAATGCAAATCTATTATGCATTCCTGGTATGGATACAAGGGCCTACAAGGGACTGAAACTAAAAATCCAAAGTTGGGACTGGAAAATCAGCAGTCATGTGGATCAAGCACAGTCTTCAGTTGTGAACTTGACTGTGTTGACAGGTGACATTCAGCCACTGCCACGCAATCCTCTCCTGCTCCACTCCCCCGTTTTGGTTGGTTTGAAAGTGCTACAGCCTAGAGTCATATGTTGGGTTGTCTGGGGGGGGGGGGGGAAGTATTCAAAAGTACTTTAAAGCACCTGTTTCAAGTATATCCATCACATACTCTTACTGTATGATGAGCCAGGAAAGAAGCAGAAATGGACTTGATCTGATTTATCACTTGGTTATCTCTAGGTAGAGACATAGGTGGTATAAGGATTCAGTGGATCACTAATGCTTGGTTAAGATACTCATGATTGGTTCTAATGCTAATGATTTCACAAAGGAGTTGTGCAAAACACAGGATAGCAATTTTCATACAGGACTACCAAAGTAAGACTGTATCTTTGAAAATGAACCTATTTTTGTTTACAAATGCATTCATTAAATGTTTTAAACACAGTAAATGTTTTAAAAAGCTGAGCTTGCTTCTTGCAGGTGAGTAACTTGAGATGGTCAGTGTTCCAAAAGTAACAGAAACTGCAGAACCACAGTTAACTAATCTACCAGAAGTATCATATTTTGAATTTGAAAAATTATCTCTAAGAGATTCATTTTGAGTGTATGAAGAAATCTGTAATTCAACCCTAATGATTTTCTGAAAAAGTGAATCTGTACTGACAGTCTAAACCAGTGGGGCCCACATCTGTTTCCCATTATCATCTCCTAGGAGCTGGTGAGAAGTTGATGCCCAGGTATTGTGAGTTGGACTCAGTGAGTCAAGCATGGGACTGTTTTTAACAAGCACCCTTAAGTCTGGAGGCTGCTCAGCCCAGATAATTGGGGACCAAATGGAAATGCTGTTTCAAGGGACTGTCACAAGAGAAACTAAAGTTTCTTTGACATGGGAATTGGTACTGCAGAGTTTCAAAAAGCAAAGAGAAGAACCTACTCTCAAAATCGGCATGTCAGCCTGCCATCGCGGCCACAGAAGATGGAGATCTAAGAGCTGCTGCCTGCCCTTATGAAAACACTTGGTTAAAATGCAAACCACAACACCCCTCTCCTCTGTTTGCTTCATAAATTCCTAACGGTCTCATCCGAGGGGGAGAGGCCTGCCTAGATGTTCCTTAGCAGTCGTAAACTGCTCACGGAATAATCTATTTTCAGGAAAGCATCCTTCTGCAATGTCTGAAGTGCAGAGACATGTGCTGGCCTGTGTGCACAGAGAGCCCACTGATGCGGGAGGAACGCGAAGATGAGGCCTGCCCCAGGCATTTGGATCAGACAGGGAACTCTTGATTTCTGCCAGCAAGGAGCAGCGGTTCATGACAGGCAGCACATGTGCTCAGAGGAGATCTGGCTACGTCTTCCACAGGAACCCATGGCTGGTAGTGCAAGGACTGTGTGACTAACTCCATGCGGCTCCAATCTCAACATGACACGGAGAAGACAGCATGGGCGGAAGGTTCCAGCCTGACATTATTTAACTTCTGAGTTTCCACTTTCTCATTGTAAAATTAGATAACATCACCTTCCTGCAGTAGCTTTGTTGTGTGAAGTGATAATGTATGTCAACTGCACATAACACTGTGTGCTGTCAAAAAATGGGAATTAGTGATTTATTCCCCATGGATTCAAGTTAGCATGGTAAGCTGTGTTAAAAGAACATCAAAGCGTTTTTTGGTAAAAATATGTGTGCGTGTTAGTCACTCAGTCATGTCCGACTCTTTGCAACCCCATGGACTGTAGCCTGCCAGGTTCCTCTGTCCATAGGATTCTCCAGGCAAGAATACTGGAGTGGGTTGCCATTCCCTTCTCCAGGGAATCTTGTCAACCCAGGGACTGAACTGGGGCCTCCCACACTGCAGGCAGATTCCGTCCTGTCTGAGCCACCAGGGGAGCTTTGTTGATATCCTTAACCAGACGTGACTATCAAGCATTGTCTCTATTTCTAAAGGAAATATTTTTGTTTAGGGCTAAGGAGAAATGGAAAGAAACTGTGATATTTCAAGAAAAATCATTCTAATTTCATCTAAAGGCTAATACCAATTTTATATCCTTCTTTCATTGGCTCTCCTGCAGGTACTAATTTTTGAAACCTAGAATCTAGACAAAAGAAGTCTATCTTTAATGAATTTGAGTCAGTTGTGGTGAGGTAGGTGAACCTAGAGTTTCTGATACAGAGTGAAGTAAGTCATGAAGAGAAAAACAAATATCATATATTAATACATAATATGGAATCTAGAAAAATGGTATTGATGAATCTAGTAGCATATGACCTATGGACACAGTAGGGGAAGGTGAGGGTGGGATGAATTGAGAAAGTAACACTGACATATATCAGAGAAGACAATGGCAGCCCACTCCAGTGCTCTTGCCTGGGAAATCCCATGGACGGAGGAGCCTGGTAGGCTGCAGCCCATGGGGTCGCTAGAAGTCGGGCACGACTGAGCGACTTCACTTTCACTTTTCACTTTCACGCATTGGAGAAGGAAATGGCAACCCACTCCAGTGTTCTTGCCTGGAGAATCCCAGGGATGGCGGAGCCTGGTGGGCTGCCGTCTATGGGGTCGCACAGAGTCGGACACGACTGAAGCGACTTAGCAGCAGCAGCAGCAGCAGCATGTGTAAAACTGTCACGTGGGAAGCTGCTAAATAACAAGGAGCCCAGCCGGGTTCTCTGTGATAACCCAGAAGGGTGGGATGGGGGAAGGGGACGGAGGCTCAGGTGGGAAGGGATATACATACATATATATACATATATGTATGTATATATATTTATGACTGATTCGAACTGTTGTACAGTAGAAACCAACATAAAATTGCAAAGTAATTTTCCACCAATTGAAAAACAAATAAAAATTTAAAAAAAAGAAGTCTACCTGCATGTTAATACTCACGTGTACTCCCGTTTCATAGGTGGCCAAGCCTGCAGGAGCAAAACCAGGTGCTGGAACTCCACCTCCTGGTGACTGGCCTCCAGGAGCTCCGTGAAGAGCTCACAGCGCTTCTCTTCATCCTCCACATCAGCTAAGTCCACCTGGAAAGGGAACACAGACCTGAAACCCATGGCAAAGGCTCCTGGATTGCTTTCCAGAAAAACTCAAATTGGGTTATTTGATTAAATGCTCTTTCAGAAATGTTTACAAACTGTCAAGGGAAGATTCAACACCACCACCTAACTTTACTCCCCCAAAACCTACAAAAGCTCTATGTTTTACCCAATTTCAAACATTTATGTTAAAAGTTGCTTAGAATGAAGTCATAGGAAGGTTTTCCACATTCTTTACCAAAATAAATTTTAAAAAGTAGGTTTTCATAGAACTGACTTATTAGCATTCAATGTATGTCATTTAAAAATACAGTTCAGTTTCATGTGAGATTATAGCAGTTCATCATACTAAACATCAGCCAATAAATTATCCTGCCATTGCTTCATACTGTCTAGAATATTTCTGTAATTGAAAATTCAAGATTTTATTAAAGTACATTTGGGGCTTTCCAGGTAGTTCAGTCGTAAAGACTCCGTCTGGCAATGTGGGAAGCACAGGAGGACAGGGGTTCAAACCCTGGGTTGGGAAGATCCCCTGCAGGAGAGCATAGCAATATATTCCAATATTCTTGCCTAAAAAATTCCATGGACAGAGAAGCCTTGTGACATGACTGAGCAACTGAGCACACACAAAGCATATATGACAAGGAATTTTTTTGCTATAAATCAAAGTATTGATAAAATATCTTTTACTCACAGCTCCATTTCTAAAGAAGTCTGTCAATTAAAAACTAATTTTTCCTCCTATTGAATAACCTAATAATACTTCTTTTACACTAAGGCAGTCCTCATATCTCCAACACCTCTGTGAAGAAAATACTTGCTATTTTAAGCTAGAAAACAGTTTTAAATATAAAGAAAGCCAAAAGCTGTGTGAGCCAAAAGCTCACATCCTCTGTATTTAGGTATTTAAGACTCAAGATGATACCTTGTAAGAATGAGAATGGATGTTACCTATATATTTGCTAAACTGTCTGTACTAATGTATGTTCCCAAAACATTTGATTTGATGGTCATTCCAGCTCTGATCCTGAGCAGCTACCTGAAAAAGTTATACTATGAATTCTAAATTTTCACAAAAGTTGACACGTACCATGTAATTACTGCTAATTACTATGGACAGTCTTGACACAGTAACCAGTCAGATTCTTCAAAACCCAACTTAAAGCCCCATGTCATTCTTGCATGGAGTAACAATTAATAACCCCAAAACTTCCTCTAGTTTCTGAAATAATTTTATAATACAGTCAGTCAGTTGATCCTTCTAACAGTCTTATATGGAGAACAGCATAGGTATTACTAACTTCGATTTTCAGATGAAGAAGCAGGCTTGTCTGTCCTGGTAACATGGCTAGAGAGTGGCAAAGCCAATATATAATTATGCTCAGATCAGGATTTTCTGAAAATGGAGGAGTCGGTAAGCTAGAGAAGCTTTGAATTATTTATATTAGTGGTTTAATTGGGAATTTGGCAACATTTTCTTCCCATTTATAAAGAAGTGTTTGAAAAAAAAATCCTCTCAAAGCACCCATTTGTCATTACCTGACCTCACCACCTGCAACTCCTCTCCAGCCTCAGGGCCTCGTGGGTGCTCTGTGTATTCCTCGTGCCTGCTTCCACCTCGGGAACTTTGATCTCCTTCCACTGCCTGGCATAGTCTTGCTTCAACATCTGCATGGCTCATTCCTTTTCTTCAAATCTCTCAAATGTCACCTTATTAGGGAATACACTGTCCCTGCTAAACTAGCGTTTCCCCATCCCATTTCCCTCCCTCGCTTTAGATTCCTTCTTAGCACTTATAAGTTTGTGACATATAACGTACCTCTTCGAGAAAACAGAAACATTTGTTTGCTGGTTTATCCCCACTACTTAAAATAATTCCTGATAGAGAGTAAATTAACAGTAGTGATTAAGTGAAAGGCAAAGGGGAAAAGGAAAGATATACCCATTTGAATGCAAAGTTCCTAAGAATAACAAGGGGAGAGAAGAAAGCCTTCCTCAGTGATCAATGCAGAGAAATAGAGGAAAATAATAGAAAGGGAAAGGCTACAGATCTCTTTAAGAAAATCAGAGAAACTAAGGGAACATTTCATGCAAAGATGGGCACAATAAAGGACAGAAACAGTATGGACCTAACAGAAGCAGAAGATACTAAGAAGAGGTGGCAAGAATTTACAGAAGAACAATACAAAAAAGATCTTAATGACCCAGATAACCATATGGTGTGATCACTCACCTAGAGCGAGTGTGAAGTCAAGTGGGCCTTAGCATCACTACAAACAAAGCTAGTGGAGGTGATGTAACTCCAGCTGAGCTATATGATGCTTTTAAAGTGTTGCGCTCAACATGCCAGCAAATTTGGAAAACTCATCAATGGCCACAGGACGGAAAAAGGTCAGTTTTCATTACAATCCCAAAGAAAGGCAATGCAGATGTTCAAACTACCACACAATTGCACTCATGTCACATGCTAGCAAAGTAATGCTCAAAATTCTTCAAATGAGGCTTCAATAGTATGTGAACTAAGAACTTGCAGACATTCAAGCTGGATTTAGAAAAGGCAGAGGAAGAAGAAATCAAATTGCCAACATCCGTTGGATCATAGAGAAAGCAAAAGAATTCCAGAAATACATCTACTTCTGCTTCACTGACTACGCTAAGGCCTTTAATTGCGTGGATCACAACAAACTGTGGAAAATTCTTCAAGAGATGGGAATACCAGACCTTACCTGCCTCCTGAGGAACCTGTATGCAGATCAAGTAGCAACAGTCAGAACCAGACAGGGAACAATGAACTGGATCAAAATTGGGAAAGGAGTACATCAAGTTTGTATATTGTCACCCTGCTTATTTAACTTATATGCAGAGTACATCATGCGAAATGCTGGGCTGGATGAAGCACAAGCTGGAATCAAGATTGCCAGGAGAAATATCAATAACCTCAGATATGCAGATGGCACCACCCTTATGGCAGAAAACAAAGAGGAACTAAAGAGCCTCTTGATGAAAATGAAAGAGTAAAAAGTTGGCTTAAAACTCAACAACATTCAAAAAATTAAGATCATGGTATCTGGTTCCATCACTTCATGGCCAATAGGTGGGGAAACAATGGAAACGTGGAATGGAATTTTGATGAAGACGTGAGCTGCACTAATTTTGTGTTGCAGGATGGGCGAGTCGAGGGGTAATGGGGAAATGGACACATTTTCAATAGGTTTCCCATATTTTTCTACATTTGTTTCTTTTTGTCCCCCTTTCTCTACAAGGATGGTGTTTAAAAAAATTAATGCACTCTTGGGCTCCAAAATCACTGTAGATGGTGACTGCAGCCATGAAATTAAAAGATGCTTGCTCCTTCAAGAAAAGCTCTGCCCAACCTAGACAGCATATTAAAAAGCAGAGACATTACTTTGCCAACACAGGTGCATCTAGTCAAAGCTAAGGTTTTCCAGTAGTCATGTATGGATGTGACAGTTTGACCATAAAGGAGGCTGAGAGATGAAGAATTGATGCTTTTGAACTGTGGTGTTAGAGAAGACTCTTCAGAGTCCCTTAGACTGCAAGGAGATCTGGTTAGACATCCTAAAGGAAACCAACACTGGCTATTCACTGGAAGGACTGATGCTGAAGCCCCAATACTTTGGCCACCTGATGTGAAGAGCTGACTCATTAGAAAAGACCCTGATGCTGGGAATGATTGAAAGCAGGAGGAGAAAGGGACGACAGAGGATGAGATGGTTGGATGGCATCACTGACTTGATGGACATAAGTTTGAGCAAGCTCAGGGAGATCGTGATGGACAGGGAGGCTGGCATGCTGCAGTCAATGGGGCTGTAAAGAGTCTGACATGACTGAGTGACCGAATGAAGAACAACAACTGATTAAGTGAATGATTGAATGAGCAGACATACAAATAAATGATTATAAAATATTGCAACATAGAATGATATTAAATATGCATGGAGTTATCATAGATTTTTGGCTGTTCTTTTTTTTTTTTTTTGATTGGAGATAGACAAAAGGTATGTTTTTTTTTTTTTTAAATAAAAAGATCCCACCAAAAGGAAATCACTAAAAAAATACCAGAGGTGGCATGTTTATTGACATTATGTTTCAACCAATGATGCCTTGTGGTTAGCTGCATGATTTCTGTAAGGTCCCTTGTTTTGTCTCATTTTCCAAGTCTGAAAAATAGGGTCCAAAAATCCCCATTGTCTCAGAAGCTTTAAGTAGATGCCTGGAGGTCTGCAGCATGGAAAAGGGTCTGTAAATGCTGACTTCTTCCTTCTGATTTATTATCTGGGTTTATTCGTAGAGAAACTTTTTGTGCTTAAAAAATATTTGAAAACAACTGAATGACAAATCTCCTGACAGTGCCAATATTCCAGTTTCTAAAATTAAGTGCAGTATAATTAATAACAAGACAGTTCTCCTTTACACAATGTAGAGTCATACCAAGTAAATGAAGAGATTAGGAAAAAATGATTCATGTTTTCAATATAATTTAGATTGATTTCTTTTTAGAAATTGTAGTAGCTTATAAATATCTAGAGCATGAACTGTATCACAAAGGAAGGAAAGAGAAAAGAAACTATAAATTAGACCTTTCAATGTTTGCTTTTATACTAGTGTCCAAATATTAGTTTCCATTTTTAAAAATGTGTGAGGTAGTAGGTTTCTTTGTATAATGCCTTCCTCACATGTACACAGACATTTTAGGGGTAAAATAATTTCAATTATTAGTAACTTGTTTCTCGGAGCATTGAAACCCATGTCTAAAATATAAATGTGAAAAATACAGCAACAAATCATCCATTTTGTGTACGCACACTTGCACATTCCCTGATTATCATAAAGGATGCCAAATTGTCATTATTCAGCTCTTAAGAAAGCAGTTTTAAACTCGATCACTGTAGCTACAAAAGCTTTACCTTATATGAGAATAATATGGGACTAAAACTGGACTGGAACACATGTTTTCTTAAGAT